CAAAAACAAACAAAAGACACACGGTTAAATGTGAATTTCAGATGACCTTTTTTTCTGATATGCACTGTCCCAAATATTTAACCTAGTTCCCTGTATTTTATCTGGGAAGCTTACACCCCCTCGATTAAGATATGGAATGTTTCCAGAACCCCAGAAGGCCCCTTTGTTCTCTTTCCCAGTCAATACCCACACCCACAGGCAAGCACTATTTTAACTGAAGTCAGTTCTCCTGAGACCCGCACTCACACCTGCCTGCCGCCTTCCGCATCCAACCCTTGCAGCTTTTCGGTTTCCCTCACCCTCAGCGACCCGCCAGCTCCCCTTTAGCTCCCTTTCTGCCTTGCATTGCACAGCCCCCTGCGCCCCCAGAAACGAGGCGTTGAAGGGGGAGCAGCAAGTGGATGGCATCTACTTTCTTCTCGCCTTTCTCACCCTGTTCCTGCTGTGATATTCCTGCTACACGTTTTCTGGATTCTTCATCACCACTGAAGGCAGAACTAGGCTGACAGAGACTTCTCTGGAGGGAAGAGAGGGGTTTGGAAGTCGTATTAGGACCGAAGGTAGACAAGCGGTCCTTGCCAGTTGACCCAGTGGCTTTGGGGCTGACTTCACCCCTAGAACCTTCTAGTTCCTCCTAAGGCCCCTTTGGGCTCTTGCATCTAACTATGGGATGAGAGCAAAACACAAAGCCTTGTGTCTCATTCTGGCAAGGGGGGTAAACTGTGAGTCTCCTCCTTGGTTTTGCTCCTCTCTACCATGCTCATTTTTCTTTTCTTTTAAATGTTTATTCTCGTACAGGATTATTTTTGTTTTTCTGTACTTAATACGTAAGTCTCACCTCAGTCACATTTTACAGCTGACTAATAAAAAAATTTAGGTAGGGTTGAATTTGCAGAAATTGAGTGAATATTAATGGGAGCTGATATCATGAAAGAGGTAAGGTTTTTTTTTTTTTAATTGAAATACAGTTGATTTACAATGTCAATTTCTGCTGTTTGGCAAAGTGACTTAGTTACACATACAGCAATATATAGTCTTTTTCATACTTTATTCCCTTATGGTTTATCACAGGGTGTTGAATATAGTTCTTGTGCTATACAGTAGAGCCTTGTTGTTTGTATGACAAAAACCACTACAATATTGTAAAGTAATTAGCCTCCAACTAATAAAAATAAATGAAAAAAAAAAGAAAAAAATATACATTTTGTATATAATAGTTTGCATCTGCTAATCCCAAACTTTCAAACCATCCCTTCCCGCATCTACCTTGCCAATCACAGATCTGTTCTCTATAAATCTGTTTCTGTTTCATGGCTAAGTTCATTTATATCATATTTTAGTTTCCGCATTAAGTGATATCATGTGATATTTGTCTTTCTGACTTACTTCACTTGGTATGATAATCTCTAGGTTCATCCATGTTGCTTCAGATGGCATTATTTCCTTCTTTTTTTAAATGGTTGAGTAGAACTCCATTGTTTATATGTGCCATATCTTCTTTATCCTTTCATCTCTCAATGGACATTTAGATTATTTCCATATCTTGGCTATCATGAACAGCACTGCTATGAACATCGGGGAGCATTGTATCTTTCTGAGTTAAACTTTTGTCTGGATATATGCCCACGATTGAGATTGCTGGATCATATGGCAACTGTATTTTTAGGGTATTTTTTTTTTTTAGCTTACATCTTTTTTTAAAATTTCAATTGGAGTATAATTGCTTTATAATGTTGTGTTCATTTCTGCCATACAACAATGTGAATCAGTAGAGGTGTACATATATCTCCATCCTCTTGAGCCTCCTTCCCATCCCTATTTTTAGCTTTTTGAGGAACCTCCATACTGTTTTCCATTGTGGCTACACTATTTACATTTCCACCAACAGTGTAAGAGGGTTCCCTTTTCTCCACACCCTGTCCACATTTGTTTTTTGTAGATTTCTTAAGGATGACCATTCTGACCAATGTGAGGTGGTATGAGTTAAGATTCTGACACCAAGAAGTGAGCCATGACCTTTGTTGGGTGGATGTTAGTCAGGGAAGTTTCCAGAGAAGGTAAAGCTTTAACTCAGATTTTGCTAAATGGTTATAACTGAAGAACTGTGTTCTAGGTTGAATTAAGAAAGTTCAGAGGAAAGGTAAATATTGTAGTATGATTCTGTAACAGGAAGAGGGTGGAGCAGAGTTATCCTTGACTGAAACCGTGGGTATTTGGGTAGAATGGAGATGCGATGGAGTGAGGGTGAGGCTTCCACACTTTCTGTGGGTCACAGGGAACCAACAAAACCTGGTCCAGTTTTTGTTTTAGACAGCTCTGTTTAGGTGGACTAGAGAGAAGGGTCAGTTTGGAGACTGACTTGGAGGTTTAGGTCAAAGGGGTCAGCTTTTCACCTCAAAGTATAAATTTGTGTACACGCATTGTTGTTGTTTTTCAGTCACTAAGTCGCGTCCAACTCTTTGCCACCCCATGGACCGCAGCATGCCAGGCCTCCCTGTCTCTCACCATCTTCCAGAGTTTGCCCAAGTTCATGTCTATTAAATTGGTGATGCTATCCAACAATCTCATCTTCTGCAGCCCTCTTCTCCTTTTGCCTTCTGTCTTTCCCAGCATCAGGGTCTTTTCCAATGATTTGGTTCTTTGCATCAGGTGGCCAAATTATTGGAGTTTTACCATCACCCAAAGCTCTAGTTGGCATTAGCTGTGGGGAGATGGGAGTTTTACTGAGGCAGTGAGGAAACAGCCTTACATTTTGAGGTAGTGGGTACTGCCAGGGAGTCCAGGCTTATTGGAAGGGGTGTGCCTCACTGCGGTGGGGTCAGGGGCGGGGGTGCCTTTGGCAGCTTTCAGCCACTGAACACATGAAGTTGGAGCAGGGAGGCATGAGTGGGATTAAAGAAAGGTGGACAGGACAACGATGGCTCACATCATGAGTCAGCCTGGGGTTGGTGGCAGCCATGTTGATGGGTTGTGCCCCCGTGGGATTGCTGGGTAGTCTCAGAAACCAGAGTTACAAAGGTTCACGTGACCTCTCCTGAACACTTGTCCTTGTTCTTATTCTCGCCAGTGTGGCCAGGAAGGAGTCTGAGATTGAGAGAACAACTGGTTTGGAGATTAAGTAATCAAGCGTTATATGGTGGCAATCGCCTGCGGTGCCTCGTTTGATTATAGAGGCAAGAGACAGTAGTTTACAATCTGCAAAGCAAAAGCTTCACTCCCAGAAAGGCCTGACTTCCTGGTAGGGGGAAAATGAGCTAGCAGGTTAGAGAGGTCACAAGTGGAGTTGCCCCATAGGGTGGAAAACTGAAAAATGACTTGTTATATCCCTTGTCATGGGTCTAATTTGTTTAAGATCAAATCCATCTGTTCATTTCACACCCTTTGTCCTACTTCCTTGCTGCAATCCATAGTGGATTACTCCATCACTTTAAAAACTGGCTGCCCTTACAATAAGCTAATAACTTACTTTGTGGTTAACTGCATCAGGATATTCTGGAACATGACCAATACTTATTTTCTCTCTCTCTGTCTCTCAAATGAACTTCTTAGTTCATTTAGTGTGGCACATAGGCTGAGAAAAAATTGTTGAGTCTCCTTCACAAAGCACAGCCTTTACAGGTTCTGAAGTGACGCAGGTAGGGGAAAAGATTTCTGCCACTCCACTAGGCCTTCCTTTCCCAGTGCAACCTACAGACATTCATTTGCCTCCCATGTGCCGTACATTACAAAAGACTTCCTGGCTCAATTGATTCCATTTATGATCTCCAAATCTTAATTTCAAATGAAGCTTGCTCCTTTTCAGGAAAGAATTATCTTCTATGCAATAAACCAGAGTCCCCTGAGGCATGCATTTGAGATGTATTGATTCCCTTAAGGTCTTCTAACCCATTAAAATATGTACAGTATTTCTGGTTAACTAATGGATCATTGGAAAAATGGGATCGCATGCAAGATATAATTCAAAGAAATGAACCGGAGGTTGTTGGCCAATCCATTCACAGGAACATTTGCTGATTGGGAAAATATTTTATTTTATTTTTTTGGCTTAATCCTTTGCCAGACCACACAAACTAGTGAAAGTTGTTATTTTTGATTTGTTGGACCTAATTCTGAAGGCACAGCAGCAATGGAATTTGTGATTTTGTCACTGCTCCTGATTAAGAAATGACTGGCTGGCATTTAAACTCAGTTGGATCTGCACAGTTCGTGGATATTCCTTCCTTGTTGAGTGCAAGCTATTGCTAGATGTTATCTTGCATTCATGCCTATCTTCTGAATGGCCAAACATTTTGGAAATTAATATTTATGAAATCGGATATTAAAATGGCAAGTGGTTTAAAGCTAAGGAATGGGTGTTGAAAGATCCCAGCACAGGCGCTCACAGTAATTTTAACATTTTTCATTACTGAGGTAATTAAAAAATTCCTTAGGGCTGAATTATAGTAAAATTTTATGTATCTTTCTACTAAGCATAAACTAATTTTCTTTCCCACTGGACAGCCTTAATTTAAGTAGGAAATATTTTTAATCCTATCTCATTTATTCATATTATGAAAAATTACAAGCCTTACTAATTTTATTCAACATTATTTCTTTCTAAACATTCTTAGATTCAGTAACTGATATGCATTTAGTATTAAAGTTTAAACAGAAATGAAAGATGGAATTTTTGTCTCACCAGCAACCTTTCCTAGTTCATTTCTAATTCTTGGGTATTCTCAGAAAAGTCATAGGTCTGAACACTGTGTTTAAGTCCCTGAAAGTCATGAAAATATTTCCATATATTTTTCTTTTAACTTTGTAATTGAGGAATATACGAAATGCTGTGTGATCTTGGACAAGTCCTTAACTTATCTAAGAAATTTAATGAACTCTGTTTTCTTCCTTACTTAATTCCTAAAGCAGCAAGTGAAATGCTGGTAAAGCCCTTTGACTCTTTCAAGTCACAAGGTGCCATTTTCTATCTTATGGTTCTAGTGGTATGGATTTCTGATACTTACGGAAACAGAGAAGTGAATGTAGCATACAAGAATTGGTGCAGAATCGGAGTAAAAGCTGTTATGTCTGGCTCAGGTGGTAGAGAATCTGCCTGCAATGCAAGAGACCCGGGTTCAATGTGTTTCAGGAAGATCCCCTGGAGAAGGGAATGGCAACCCACTCCAGTATTCTTGCCTGGAAAACCCCATGGACAGAGGAGGTTGGCAGGGATGTGTTTTTTAAAACCATACCTAGCTTAAGTTTTTGGCAATAACTATCATTTAGGAATGAGCTTCATTAACTAGGACTTCTGCTTGTGTCTTTGGCACTTCCTCTGCTCAACACGCTTTGCTGCGTGGGCCCCTGGAACCCTAAGGCTGGCCCCAACCCCCTTAAGCTGGGTTGAGGGTGTAATTACCCTGATAAAATGGTGCTATCAGATTAATCATTCCAATCTAGACTGTGTTGTCCAAAAATTTATAGTTTGTGTCCTTTTTTTCTGGGGTGGGGGTGTGGCTTATCGGATTTTAGTTCCCTGACCAAGAATGGAACCTGGGCCCTTAGCAGTGAGAGCGCAGAGTCCTAACCACTGGGCCACCAGGGAATTCCCTGTATCTCTTTCAAGCGATAGTCTCTAGATGCAAGTGGCAAGAGTACCCTGATTTCTATTTCCATACTGATCTTCTCAAATAGAACCACTTTAAGAAAGCAGAGCTGACTCTGACTCTCTGCTGTTTATCCACCTGCACTATTTAACTCCAACTGAGTTTTTCTGCTTCTCACCTTAGCTTACTTTTGCAGGCAGTCTGTTCCTCCTTTTTTCAAAAGTGCCATTCAGACAGCTGTGGAAAAGTGTCTTCCAGTTTATCTGTTTGCATGTCTGGTTGCTAGACTATGAAATCCCCAGCAGCAAGAGCTGGTCTTATGCACTTTTGTGCCACACCTGGCACAGAGTAGGTCTTTTGTAAATTAATAAAAACAAAAATGCCTGAGTGGGTACGGTGACTAGTTGTTTCTTTAATCAGACTTTCAATTTCCTTCTCTTGTCTTTTCTAACTCTTTTAGGTTGAACCTGTATGACTTAGTAATAAGAAAAAAAAATATTTAAATAAAAATATGGGTATTTATGTTTAATTATATGGAATTGTTAGGGGAAGCCCACTGATTGAAACCGCCCACCCTGGCCAGGCACCATAGTAACCATTTGCATGAGTTGTTTTAGGACAGGAGGTTCTGATAAGGAACATGGAACTAATAAGCCTCCACCAACCGGAAGAGTTCAGGAAAGGTCACAATGAGACACCACATGTCCGACCACCTCCCAGAATCCTCTCTGGCTAAACAAGGCGTGCACCACCAGTCAGAATGATTGGCTAAAGACAACCCGGAAACTAATCCCATCACCATAAAACCCGAGACTGCAAGCCATGAGACAGAGCAGTTCTCCTGGGTTCCCTCACCCTCCTGCACTCCGCCGGGTGCCCTTTCCCATAAACCTCTTGCTTTGTCAGCACATGTGTCTCCTCTGACAATTCATTTCCGAGTGTTAGACAAGAGACCAGTTTCGGGCCCTGGAAGGGGTTCCCCTTCCTATAAGAAAAGCATTTCCACTGCTATATTAAACTATTAACTTTTTAAAAAGCAGTCTAGACAAAGCATAAATCAGCCTTGTGAGCATGTTTTACAGATGTTTATATTATTTGTTGAAACACATTTGACTGTGCACAGGCACATGGGCCTGTTTGAAAGAAGAAACAGTCTCTCTGTGCTCCCCCAAAGATTTCAACCTGTTACCCATTCCTTTTTGATTTTTCTTTCCAACTTTCCTATCCCATCACTTAAAACTGGTTGGTGTAGCCCTAAACCCCTAAACAGAAATTATTGAATGCTAATAATTTCTGGTAAGCAATTTAGAAGACGTTTAAGTCACTAATATATATGTGAGTCCCCTTTTTATTGCAATTTCCAGGGAAAGTGCTACAGAGTGATATGTGGCAATAACAAATTCAGAAGGAAGGGAATATGAAATTCAGCGAGCAGCGTGAATGATTTGCTGTTAGCATGGGGCCCAATAACACTACAAAGCTATAAACTCTGTCGATCTAGATTGCCCAGTTAGGTGGCAGAGATGCAATTTGTCTTTTCTGAAGCCGCCTGCTGTTTGCTAGCTCCATCTCCTGTCACAGCCTATTAGCTCCCCAAGAAAATTGGTGGGAAATTGCCTGCAGATTGTAGGAAATTGCATCTCCAGGCCCTGGAAAAAATGTAGGATAGCACAACACTGACCCTCCCAGAGCAGCTATTAATACAGCGAAGAGTGACCTTTGACTCTCCGGGAAACGACTTTGCTATTTGCTGAATAAAGTCTGTATTATGTGTGGTTGAAGGAAGGTGCAAATGATTATCCTGGGGAGGCTTGCAACCAACCTGCTTTTAAAAGCCTAAATATTAGTTAGAAGATTTGTTTTTTGTTTGTTTATTTGTTTGTTTTAGGTGTGGAGGGTTTGAGTGCTGTGGCTCTGCGGGGAGAAAACGGTCTAGTTGGCTTGTTTTTGAAAGCACCTTTTCCCTGAGTTAAAAAGAAGTGAATCCTCTCAAGGAAATGCTCATGAAGCTCTCAGGCAAAAATCCAGGAAGTGAATCTTTCAAAGACGAGATTAAAAGACAAAGATGAGCCCATCAGGGCCCTGGTTTGTTTTCCCCTTGGTGCTGTTGCGCGTACACCTGGGGCTTCCCTGCCCCCCTTCGTAATTGCGTTTTACAGTTCCGTCTATTTCCACTCACTTCTGAATTATTTTCTTTATAGACCATCCCCAGAAGTTCAGACATCAAGATAATTCAGTGTTCCACAGGGGTACATATTGTGCATATTTTAAGCATCATTAACTTTATGTTACAAAAAAAAAAATCAAGATCCTGACATGGTATTTACAGGCTTGCAGTTCTACCTAGAAGGATCTGAGCTCCCATTTACAAGCCATAGTTTTGGAGAGGAAGAACAGCAGTTTAGCTGCTCGGAATGAGTCAGATGCCCTCACTACCTCCGAATCCTAAACATTGTCCCCTATTCCCACCCTCTCCCTCATTGCTGGGTTGGTCACATTTAGTGCCCTTGGGAGCAAAATGAAATGGCAGGACACAGATCATCATTGCTATAAAGTAAGATCGAAGCCATATTGACAAAGAGAAACCCGATACAGGGAGAAAGAACACCAATGGTAGCTCCAAATTTTTACATGACAGAATGCATTGCCCATTCACTCATGTGCTTTTAATTTAAGATCAAAATTGCTGCTTGACACCTTAGCTTCTCTTTCCTTGTAAACTGCATTGTTATTCCCTTTATGATTTGCACAGGTTAAAAAAAAATGAGTCTCCTCTCATCTCTTTGCAGGATTTAGAGGTATTTTTTAGATCTGCTGCCTTTTTACATTTGATTCTTACTTCTAGAGAGAAAAGTATTGGACACTAGGTCGTATCAGAGTGCAGTGAATTTAGACTGAAAATTTCTGAGCTTTTGAATGGGCTCTGACGCTCTACCTGTCCGGTCTTGGGTGATTTTTTTTAAGCTTCTTGGGCCTGAATTTCACGATCTAAAATACAACGGACGTTCTTTAAGAACCTTTAAGATTTGAATTCTTTGATGAAGGGTAAAGACCTGGAGACTGAAAACTGAGCTGCTGCTCTTCTTCCTGCCTCCTTGTGGGGCTTTTCTTTGACTGATTGTTCTTGAAGAAGGGGTTCTGCTTGGTCAAAGAAGATATTTTGGAGTCTGCAAGCACCCAATATGCGACTGGCTAGCTTATCAAACATTGTATGTCAAGTGAATACTTGCTTATGACTATTAGAAGAACCTGAAGAAGTTCTTAAGACATGATCCCTGGGGGTATACTGACTACCAGGGTGAGTGGATATTGCAGATGGGCAGAAGGCCCATCACAGGACAGCTGCTAGACAGTGGAATTTAGGTACAGAGTCCATATGTATGTAGCCCCACATTATAGGATATGGGAAGGAATATCACCTGAGGTCCTGTTAACTTGAAAATATTACATTAATTAAAAAAAAAGACAAAAGTTACATACTATATAATACCATTTGTATGATGTATTTCATACATCCATAAAGACAAAAGCAGGTTAGTGGTTGCCAGACACTTGATGATAAGGAGGATGGGATAACAGGGAGTGGCTGTGTGATAGTTTTGGAGTTTCACTTTAGGGAGACGAGCATGTTTTAGAACTAGATAGAGGCGATAGTTGAACAACTTGGTGAATGCACTTAGTGACACTGAATTGTAAATTTTTAAATGGTTGATTTTATGTTGTGTGAATTTTGCCTCAATCAAAGAAAAAAGTCTACTTAAATTGAGACATAAAGGAACAAATGCAAGAGTATATAATTACTTAAAATTTAAAAGGGAGCTTTTAGCCCAGACAATATCTTGCCACAACACAAATCACCCTATAACCCTTCTTATTGGCCTTTTCCCACTCTAATCTTTGACCATAATGATGATTTGAGAAATGACTGGAAGTTCTGATGTACCAGAACTCTAAATAACCCCACAGCTTCAAAAGCCAATGCTAGGACTGATTTTGTGATACTTCCATATTCAGATAATTTGTGAACACCATTTTTCCTACATATTCTGTCGAAATCCAAATCAGGTGCCATGTTTTTTTTAAAAGGCTTCCAATCTGAGCTGAAAGAGATCTCTGCCTCCTCTGATGAATGGCATCTACCAAACTTTTTAGGGCTTTACTCACTTCCCGTCTTGGATTATGGTTGCTTATTTTTCCGACATGCTTCACCTCCCTTACTGGAGGCCAGAATCACAGCCCCCTCACCTTTGTGTCCTCCCAGACAGCAGGGCAGTACATACTTAGCCAACATTTGAACTCGGGCTCTTATTTTCTTCTCTACCTGGAATGTGCTTTGTAGAATTCCACAGCATTCTCTTCCTTCCTTCTACTTAGCTGCGGGGTTTTTTAAGAGAGGCCCCATTCCCTATTCTCAGTTGAGATTCAGAGTGGGTGAAATGCCTTCTGGTATGATGCCACCCCTCCAGCCAGCTTCACGGATGCTCCTATTTGCATATTCCATAGCTGAGAATCCTACGAAGATGACAGGCTTGGGCCCATGTCAACCTGAAGCCAAGGGCTTCCCAAGTGGTTCAATGGTAAAGAATCCACCTGCCAAGCAGCAGATGTGGGTTTCGTCCCTGGGTAGGGAAGATCCCCTGGAGAAGGAAATGGCAGCACCCACTCCAGTATTTTTGCCTGAAAAAATCCCATGGACAGAGACAGGAGCCAGGCGGGGTAAAGCCCATGGGGTCGCAAAGAGTTGGACATGACTGAGCTGCTAAACAACAATAAGACCTGAAGCTGAAGGTGACTGTTTGCCACGGTGTGGGGAGAGGTTGCCTGGGAATATAGCTAACAAGAAGAAAAGCAGGCCGGGCAGTGGAGAGAGGCTGATTCTGGGAATGTTGTTTGGATACCAGGATTCCAGCAATGGGGAGCCAAGTTTGCCCCTGGACTTTTCAGTTCAATTAGCCAACTTTCCCCTCTTTTTTTGCTGAGACCATTAGAGTTGGGTTTCTTCCTCTTGTCTTTGAAAGACTTGTCCGATACCTTCTTGGTATCTCTTCATGTTCAAACCATCTTGCAAGGCTTGGGTAAAATCGGATGTTCTCTGGGAAGCTCTCACATCTCTTCTTATATTTGTATTTATCCACCCTGCTATTTATTATACTACTTTGAACAGAGGTTTATTGAGCATTAGAACAAAAGTAGATATGTAAAAGAATAAGATTGTTTTTGCTTTTAGGGAGTGATAGTTAAAGAAAATCTTCAGGCAATTTTATATAGTTTATATCTCCCTTAATCCCTATATTAGTCTTGTGAGGTGAATACTGCCACCTGTATTTTATAGATGGTAAAACTGAGAATCAGAGGTTATACAATTACTCAGTTGCATAAGGCCATGGTTTGAACATTTGGACTCCAACTTGGAATTCTGTTTCCTTTGTCCTTCCAATGCAGTTTGTCTTACATTATGTCTTTTTTGTCTTCTCTACTAGACTCTGGATCCTGTAAGGGCAGGGACTGCAGCTTCCTTATTTTTCAGGCATATATTTTAGCAGAGTCTCTTGATGATAGAATTCAGTTTTTTTTTTTTTTTTTGGTGTC